ATAGATAGATAGATAGATAGATAGATAGATAGATTCATAGGGCCCTAATGTAACTTGACACGCTCCCTTTTGTAACATTTGATCCCTTTTGTAACTCATTGCGATTACAAAAGGGATCGCGATCCCTAATGTAACCTCACGAGTTCCCTAATGCAACTTGATGTTCCCCAATGTAACCCAACACGTTCCCTAATGTAACCGAAGGTTCCCTTTTGTAACTCAAGGCGTTCCCTTATGTAACTYTACATTCGCCTTCAATTTTCTGTCATTTCGTTCTATTTATTTCAAATAAAAAAGGTGATATAGTAAATCGCAATGCTTTTTGAAGAGTATTATCATAGTTGTTCACTTTCTGAGAAAGTGTTTTGGGGATAAAAAACGATCATAAAAAGTGTACTAAATCCAGTTACTTCGATAGTTCCCTTATGTAGCTCCATATTTGCCTTCAAATTTTTGTCATTCCTCTTCATTCTTTTTAAAAAGAAAGTGCAATATGGTGGATCAAAATGCTTAGAGAACACCATTATCTTACTGTTTTCTTTTTAGGAAATGTTTTTCCGAGATTAAAATCGATTTTAAAAAGAGTATTACAACCACTTGCTGTAATAGTTGCCTAATGTAACCTTTACTAAGTCTTGTCTTCTTATGATGTTCTTTGAAACTGATAACAAATATCTTACACTAATTGCCCATGCACAGAGTTTTGACTAAAAACTACAATATTTTTATCGAAATAAATACAGCCACAAAGTAGTTTGGCCTCTATCATACTTCTTAACTAAGTTATACATTACTTTAGAAGTCGTTATATAAGTGCTAGTGATACCCAGTGCTCAGTTGTGTTTTGTTTGCTTGACGTTTAATGGTATTTTTACACAGTGCAATGCAACAAATGATTGAAGTAGTGCAAGTGACTTCAGCTATGCTTATTATAGTTATGGCCTTTATGTTATCATCAAGATTTCAATGGCGTTTAAGTTGCTGAAACACGGTGCAACATTGCACTCAACATCAGCAAGCAGCAAATT